AGGAAGGAAGGAAGGAAGGAAGGAAGGAAGGAAGGAAGGAAGGAAGGAAGGAAGGAAGGAGCAGCTAGAATTTGGTTTATAATATCCCAGCACTTAGGAGGCCAAGGCAAGATGAGTGCTACAAGTTCTAGACCAGCCTTGGTCACAGAGCACCAGTAAGCCTGTCTCAAAGAAAGAAAGATCTGGAGAGCTGGCTCAGCAATGAATTCCCAACACCTACATGGCAGCTCATAGCCGACTGTTACTCCAGTCCCGGGGGATCCAACACCCTCTTCAAGGCTGGCCTCCACAGGCACCAAGCGCAGGCAAAACACTTACACACATAAAGTAAATAATAAGAGGGGGTGGGGATAGGATTTGGTGGTGCACACCTCTAATCGAGCAGGTGGGGCAGGGACAGAAGCAGAGGCAGCTGGGTCTGAGTTCAAGGCCAGCTTGGTCTACATAGCCTGTTCCAGGGCTATGTAGTGCCACCACCCTGTCTCAAACAAAAACCAAAGTGGTGGATGGTGCCTGGTGGGAGAGAGGCTCAGCAGCTGAAAGTCCTTGCCGCTCTTCCAGAGGATCCAGGCTTGCTTCTGGCTCTTGGGTTTTATACCTTATTATTGTGTGTGGGAGCAGGTACCGTTGCATACCTTTGGAGCTGAGAGGGACTCGAGAGCACCTGTGTTTCCCCTTCACCTTCCCACTGACTAGGGAGATCTGACTCAGTTCAGCAGGTGGTCAGCCTCTTACCTGCTGAACCGTCTCACTACCCCGGGTTAAGATTGTTCGAACTTTTAGCCTAGGACTGGAGAGTTGACTCAGTGGTTAAGAACACTGTCTCTTCTTCCAGACGATCAGGGTTCGATTCCAAGCACCCACATGGCAGCTCAGACCATCAGCAACTCCAGTTCCAGGAGAATCCCCTCTTGTGGTTTCTGTGAGCCTCAGGCACCAAGTGGTCCACAGACATGCCTGCAGGCAAAATATTCATACACATGAAATACAAAACAAATAAATCGAGAAATACAGACCTTTTTGTGCCTTCCTCATGTTCATGAGGATTATGACATGATGGGATGGACGAGGGCAGATGGCTAGAACAGTCACACATTTCACCCCTCTCCCCCCTTCTTTAACACACCCAGCATCTATATTTTTCTTCCTACCCATCAGCGACTGATGAGCTGAGGCTGGCACGCCACATCATTTTCATTTGTTTCTCACTGTTGCTAAGTTGTCGCCATGGTATCAAGACACTCAGGCAAATATAGATGCCTAAAGACAAGTGTGGAGGAAGAGAGATCTGGTCTCTTTGCCTCTCTGTCACTAGGATGAGAGGGTCAGCATTAAGTTGATGTCATACTTGTTCTCGGCCACAACACAACACAGCATTGCACTGAAAACCGTGCTATTGCATCCCATAGAGATGTGTCAACAACTCCTATACTCACCGTTTACAGAATCATAGCTCAACACAGCAATATCAAACATGAGCTTATTAACTATAATGTTATGTCCTACAATTCAAAGGAAGGTCCTATTTTAAAAGGACCTTTTAAACTTTTAAAACTTTATTTTAAAAGTTTTTCCAAACAATTCGTGTTTGCAAATCAAAATAGAATTCAGCAAAATGGCCCAATATGAGCTTTACCTCATTTTTTCCCACCTTTCTTTTTTGTTATTCCCTCTCCCTCCCGCACTTCTTTCTTTAGAGGGTCCCACTGGCTAGCCCAGGCCGACCTTAAGCACTTGGCATTCCTCCTGATTCAGCGAGCTGGGATTACAAATGGGGACTGCACAACCCACTGTGGACGTAGTCTTTATGTCTTAGTCCTGTGATCTTAAAAAAAAATAGT